AACGTTGTAGCAGATGTAGTAACAACTAAATATGTTTTTCTCACTAGCGAGAAAATAAAAGATTAGTCATTGAATATCTCTGTAAAATGATAATGAAATAAATGTCGATAAATAAATATCTATAGATTTTCCAAGATAGTTACAAGGAAATCATTTTTGATGTCCTTCTTTTTATATTTATTATTATTATTATTTTTTTTTTTGTATATATTATCTATTGATTATATCTATTTTATAGATAGGACTTGACTTTAAATCCATATAAAATATTTTAAAGATCTTGACATAGATAATCATCAATAATATATTCGACGAAAGTTAGGACAGAAGCTAGATACTAAATTGTTATTTATTAGAGATAACGATACGTCATCGTACATCCTAGTAATGTATAAAAAAAGGAACACGTGTCTCGGAAGTTTTTACAATGACTTTTTTTCTTTTTATTTTTCAAATTTTTTTTCTTTCCTCAATATTATGCCAACATCATACATAATCGTACATAGTCGTACATAATCGTATATGATAGTAGCTATGTATAATTAAAGCGAATCAGTCTGATCAACTTGTGGATTGATTGTCTATGGAATTCGATCATTCAGATCGATTGATTAATATAGGCCAATTTTATTATCGTCCACTGTTTTTATCTTTGACTGAATACGATAAAATGTTTCTTCACAGAAAACTACTTATTTATCACGATCTATCTACTCGTTTTCAATTACAACATTATCATTGTAAATATAGGCTTAATCAAGCTTAAATATTAGAACCGATTAGTTCTTTTAAAGAGAAAGAAGAATCGATATTATCCAAGCGTGTTGTTTCGACACGGTACGTGGATATTTTTTCTTTCCTTCCTTCCATTCTTCCTTCGTTCCAGGTTTTGATAAATTTCCTTTTGCACGCCAAAAGGTAATCATTGACGCAACTGCACCTGTTGATGACGCGAGAATGAGAACGAAATTGGGTAATGAGAAAAAGCTATTTAATTTGCAAAGAGAGAAAGAGAAGAGGGACGTTATCGTTCTACGTGTATGTGTCGGTGCCTTAATCGCTTTTACAGCCGGTACAGGTGACTTCTTAGGTGAGGGCAAGAAGAAGAAGAAGAAGAAGAAGAAGAGGAGGAGGAGGAGGAGGAGGAGGAGGAGGAGGAGGAGGATGAAGAAAAAGTAAAAGAGGGGGGAAGGTGGGGAGGGAGGAGGCTCCTCCGTTCTTCATGTAAACCTTGCGCCAGTCAAGTTACACGCTCGTATATAACTTTCAGGTGTTCCTTCTTCTGCTCTTTTTGAATTCTATCGAGTGCCGGTGGTTGAGCTCTCGCGATGGTAACGTTGTTGGTCGCTCGTTAATGATTCTTCGCCAGTTTTACACTCTCTCCCTTGTACGTACGAAGTGGGAGGAAAGGGAGGGGAAGGGGGAACGGGATGAGGGAGAGTAGCGAGGAGAAGGAGGAGAAGGAGGTAGAGAAGATGCGCAAGGTGCAAGCCATAAAAAGTCAATGACTTTTTATGAAAGAACGACGGTGACGGCAAAATCGCGAGAGTGTTTAATTATCGAAGCGAGGAACTCGCGAGTATGTGTCTACCGATCGATCGAGTAACGACTTTGACTATTATCGCACCAATGAGATCTCGTACCTAATAACGATCGTTTTAGAAACTCAAGACGTATTCCTTTTCTAACAGAGGAGATGAGACGTTTAAATAATCAAAATGATTCGATCGATAGTCGGAGAAAATGGCGATAAGAAAAAGAGATAAAGAGGAAGAGAAATAGATTACTTCGAATCGCTCCTTAAATCAAGCTCTAGTTGGCAAGTTGACTGTGCCTATGTTCTACATTATTGCTATCTCTTATTCTGTTTTCTCTCTCTTTCTCTCTTTCTGTATCATCTATCTATCTCTCTCTCTCAGAACACAAATTACCGAGCATTTAATTACCGTCCAATATCCAATGAATAGTCATTAATCACGTTACCGATAAACCGTAATTTTCCGAACGACGATAAAATCTGTCACACGACGTACATACATACATAGTAGGTATACATGGCGTTGTGCGTTCGTTTAGCTTCACCTGATAATACCATGTCGCTCCTTTCAATACGTTCCATGGCGCAGAAACTTTTATTGCCTCGAGCTACTTTTATCTAGTATTATCTGTACCCTTAATTAATTCATTCAAATGAATTCGTCCAAAGTTTAGCGTTAACGTTTAATCTACGTCGTTGTTTTTAAAATGAAGATTAACTTAACTTTTGAACTTTCGAACAAATTAGATTTCAAAATAGATTTGATGAAAGTCGATATTAAAAAGTTTCGATTTGAAGGAAGATCAACCGATCCACCCTCTCTCCCCCGCCCCCCGTTCCCTTTATCATTTCAAAGTCGTTTCCTCCTACTGTACGAAAGTGAAGAGAGCCATCGGGCTCCTCTTCGGTAGCCCGTCTGGTTTTTTGGTAGCAGTTTGTTGGAGCCTCACCGCCACTGAGGCGAGCTTGTCTGCCCTAAGGCCGAGTACTCTCTTTCCTTCCGAGGGAGGAATGGTAGATAGACCTGAAGGTAGCAAAGGATACGAGTCTATTTACGATTCGATCAAGAGAATCTTTTTTATCGAATTTATCGAAATTAATACGAAAGAGATATATGAAAAAAAAAAAAAAAAAAAGAAAAAAAAAATTTAAACGTATGAAATTAGTCATAGGTATCCATTTTCTTCTTTTTCTTTTTTTTTCCCTTTTTGTTTTCTTTCTTTTTTTGTTTTCTTTTTGTTTTTCTTTCTTTCTTTTTTTGTTTTCTTCTCAAATTAACACCGTAATCACATCGTGTGATCATCGTTTAGCTCGAACAAGATCTCTATTGGAGGAAGAAACATCGAAACTTAGTTAAAGCCATCGCTGATCCGAGACAGAGCACCCGGTATATCGGTAGATCGTGCGGGAGAAAGATCAAGCGCTCCACCCACGCCCACGTCTCAACCTGTTCTCTGTTTCTCTCGCGTCGAGCCGTGGTTACAGGTGCCTCCTTCGGGGCATTCCTGCTGGAATTCTTCATGGATGATCCTCTCCTCGCTTCTGCTCGCCTGCAAATCCACCTACCACGATCGGAAAGCGACGTTCCTCGACCACCTCGTCGTTCGGACCAATGTATTCGATGATCTCGATCGAGATTCGTCCCCCGAACTTCTCCTTCAAGCGAGTTAAACCCATGTGATCATTTTTCTTGAACCTTCGTAACATTAATATTTTTTTTCGAGAAACGAAATGATAGATAAACATGTCCTTGTTTATTTATACGATCCACAAATTAGTTCTTTTATATATATATATATTCTTTCTCCTTACTCCTTTCTTTTTCATTTTCTTCTTTTTCATTTTCTTCTTTTTCTTTTTCTTTTTTTCTTTTTATTTTTTGCAAACGAGATCCAACAATTCCTTATATCTTCGATCTTCTAATATTCTTTTTGGAAGATTAAAGAAAATAGCATTCTTCGAGAAGGTATCGTAATTATTAAAAATATCTTAGCAAAAAAGGGTAGGAAGGATGATGACGTTGATAACGATAAAGATGATGATGGCGACGGAGGTAGGAATGGGGAATAGGGGGATGAGCCAAAGAGTAAGTACGCCCACACCTTTTTCTCCTTGGGGACCTGTTCTCGGCTTTTACGTTCTGACATCTTTTCACTTCGTTTACGAGTCCCCTTTACGTTTTACGACCGATCATCGGAGCCCTTTCTCTCTCCAAGAGATTCTACCGAGCGGCCGCTGTTTGGACGACCGTGCACCGTCTTGATGACGAGAAAGAAAGATGGAGAGGGATAGGAAAAAGAAAAAGAGGAGCCGCCTTTATTTGCTTAAATGCAGCGTGCGCGCGCGCGCGCGCGAGAGAGAGAGAGAGAGAGAGAGACGAGGAAGGAGGAAAGAGTGTAAGATAGACATAGACATCGTAATCGTTGTAAAATCATCGTAATCAATAGCTCTTAATATATATATCTTATAAATTAAGACTCTTCTCCAAGTTGAATTCTTGTCATTCAAGACAATATTTTTTTTTCTTTTTTAAAGCTAACAACCCACCTCCGTAAGGCTGCATATATATGTGTGTGTGTGTGTGTGTGTGTATGTAGATTTTCGAATGCCTAACGAGAGACTTAACGACTTCGTTGAAGAGAGCAAACGAGAACTAAAGTTCCTTTGGCAAAAAATTCTAGAATCCAATTTACAGTCATGATTTCAGTCGATTCGCAGACCATATGATGTACTTAATCTGAAATTTAAATGCATTCGACACGTACCTACTCGTTTACGCGCGATTTTATGACGGAACATCGATGTCGCGATAAATGAAGACGAGAACGTCGAACGATACGAAATAAAAAAAGAATGTTTTTTTATATGTTGTTTATATTAATTTTGAGTACGTGTTTAGTTTGAGTCGCAATTAGACTTGGAAAATGCAACATCGAGTTTCTTATCTTAACATCGCTGAGTTACGGTCTAATACCGTAAGAAACAAAATTATAGTTGGCTATACCTTCGTATCTTCTTTTATTTAACGACGTCTCGCTTTTATTTAATGGCGAAGTCTCGTACGTCGGAATAGTCCAATCCAATCCATAGAAATTTCTCGACTTACAATCGATTTATTTTTGACAGATTTAACGAAAACTGTCGACGTTCTTGATCCAATTTTCTTCCGTCCACTCGCGTGAAAATTTTACGAACGATCGGTAAGTAAAGATGTATGACAGTTCTTCGAATCTGTACTTTGTCGCAAAATCGATCGATACGCTATGATATCTGAACTAATAATAATAATAATAATAATAATAAAAATAAAAGGGAGAAAAGTAGGACATGTTAAAAGGGACATGCTATAATCATTAAATTTCTTATTTCTCTTTTTCGATTTTGATTTATGCATCGGTATAGATGGATCGAACGGGAACAAAGTTGATCCATGATGAACGAAATCTATCATTGATTGTTACAGGACGAGGTGGGAGGCAGTACGACGGTGGTAGCCGAGGGTGTAATAGGCGGCATAAGGGGCCCAGGCGGCGGGTGCCGCGCATCCTCGATGACGATGGCCGAGAGCGCCGTGGAGGACGCCGCAGCCGCGCCCCCGGGTCCGGCCAAGCCGCCCCCGCCTTCCTGTACGAACAACAATACCCTAGCGGCGACGGCGAATCGTAACCATCGGAATCCACGAAAGAGAAAACGGCTGGCCCAAGTACTTGACATTCTCCAAGCACATAGAAGCTCGCCGTCGGAGGGTGAGGTACTCAGGTTCGAAGGTAACGGGCCAGCGTCCGAGGAAGAGGAAGACGTTTTTGGTTCGCCGAGATCGTCTTCCAGGTCGGCCGTCGACAGTCCGTCCGGTTTGAACGTTCTACCGTTAAGGTTCAAGGACGAGGAGAGTCCAGTGACGCCAACAGGAGAGGAAGAGGAGAATGCGATGTCGACGATATCGACGATGTCGACGACGATGACGACGACAACGACGACAACGACGGCGACAACGGTCGGCGAGGGCGAGGTGGAGCAACGAAACAATCGTCATCAACATCATCACAACCACCATCATCACAATCATCATCACAGAAGCCGTCACAATCACCGTAACCTAACGTACAACAATAAAACACGGCAGAACACAAATCAGAAACAATCGTCCACGTCGAATCGTTCCTCAACGGGCAAGCTGAACAACAGTGCTTGTACCTGCGCCCAATGTAGTCAGTCCCCTAATTCGGGCGGCATGATGCTGCACTCACCTACGTCGCCGTTAACGCCACTGACCCCGCTGACCCCGTTGACACCATTGTCCCTACCACCGCTCACACCGGGCTCCTTGAGCTCGTACAGCTTCGAACAGTACATGCACACCAAGTACCTGCCGGATATCTATCGCGGACGCAGTCATTCGGATTCCGACGTGGTGCCTGGCTGGGAACAGAGGATACCACCAGCATCGACGTCCTCGTCGATGTCGTTGATGGTGAATCACCCACCACGTAGCGGTTCGTTAGAAAGTGAGACGACAAGTCCGCAGGAATTACCGTTGGATCTTTCGATGAAAAATCTGATGGCGTCGGCGGCCGCTGCGGCTGCCGCAGCGGCCGCAGCAGTGGCAGCGGGGGGTAATAGACCTCCTGCACTTCGACTTTTACCGGCTGGCATCGTGACGAGGGGTTCCGTGAGCGTGCCGGTAGTCAGAGGAGATGTTGCCTCGCCGACAACGAAGGAGAGCGTTGCCGTGAGGTATAACCTCGAAGTTTCGCCTGTAGTCGAGGAGATGCCGCCTGGTGCCGATTTAGCCTACGTTTGTCCAGAATGCGGCCAGATGTTTAGCCTACACGATCGTTTAGCGAAACATATGGCGTCGAGGCATCGCAAACAGGGTCCGCAGGACGCTTCTGCAAAGGCATATCTCTGTGACGTGTGCCAAAGGAGCTTCGCCAGGTCGGATATGTTGACGAGACATATGAGGCTGCATACAGGCGTAAAGCCTTACACGTGCAAGGTATGCAACCAGGTGTTCAGCAGGTCCGATCACCTCAGTACTCATCAGCGAACGCACACCGGCGAGAAGCCCTACAAATGTCCAGACTGTACCTATGCGGCCTGTCGCAGGGACATGATCACTAGGCATCAGAGGACCCACAATAAGTTCCTCGAAAGTCAAGGAAGAGCTTCAGGAGCAACAGGGACGACAAAAACGGAACCAGGTTCGCTCCCATCGGATGATGGCAGTCCTACGTCCTATGGGCAGCCTATGCCAGCTTCTCCTTCTTCAACCGGCGCCGCCATAAAGACCGAATGACGACGAGCCGTCGGACGACCCTGGTTCCTCACTTCTCCTCGAGCTTCGGTCTCTCGAAGAGCTCGCGGACGAAACTTTTTCGCTACTTCTCTTTCTATTTCGATTGCTCGCGAGCTCGAGCGTGGAACCTCGCGTCGTCGAGCGCGCGAATCTCGACGCTGAAGGAGGACTCGTATCTCGGACAGTATTATCCTAATCCTTTATTATTCTCCTCATTCCCCCTCATTCCTTCCATCCTTTCTTCCATTCTTCCTGTTAATCCTATTCCTATTATTCCTCTTCCTCTTGCCCGCTAAATCGACACGATCGCGTATAAGGAAAGTCGCTTTTCCTTCAAAAACAAAAGACTTTCTCGCTCTCTTTTTCTCACCGATCATACTCTCCGAAGCGTATTTCAATCGTAAATCTACGCGTATACACGTGCCAAACTCGTTTTCCTCTATTCTACTCCGTACTCGTTGCCCTGTCGAAACGACATTGGAAAAAAGAACAAAAAAAAAAGAAAAAAAAAAAAAAATACAAAACAAAAAAATAAAAAAAAGAGAGTAATTATCTCTTAATCTTTCGTCAAATGATTTTTGACAAACTCATATAAATAGAAACAATTCGAGGAGACGCTACATTTAAATAATGCAATTAGTTAAAAATTAAAAGATTGTTTATATAAAGTATTTTATAAATATTCGCGTTACACTCGTTCGTTCGTTCGTTCGTTCGTTCGTTCGTTCGTTCGTTCGTACGTACGTCGTCGTTGTGCCAAGCGCGAACAGTACGGAGCTTTTAGAAAGTGATTATCATCTCAATTGTTCGAGATTTCTCTGAATTCATCGTAAAATTTAACATTTCGTCGTTAGAAAAAGAAAAACAAAAAAAAAAAGAAAAAAAAGAAAAAGAAAAAGCCTCGTCCTATATTCGATTTCATTTCTACGAGATTCTATATTTTCATTTTTTATTTTTATATAAATTATTCCATTCGGTTGTTTGTTATTTAAAACGAATCTCCTCGCGAACTTTCAAGAGAGATCCGCTCGTTTATTTGACGAAATTGGAAAGGAAAGGATGAGACAAAGAGATGGGTTACAAAATAATGATCGATAGTAAACGAATTGTACCTGCAGAAAGAGAGAAAACTAAAAGTTGAAGCATTATATAGAAATATTTAGAGGTAACGTTAATTAGTATGTAATTAATTATTATTATATTACTATTATTATTATTATTATATTATATTATATTATTATCATTATTATTATTATTATTATTATTATATTATTATTATTATTATTATTATTATTATTATTATTATTATTATTATTATTATTATTATTATTATTATTATTATTATGCGTTAATTATTATAGTAGTTGTTAGCGTTATCATATATTGCGGTAAAGATAACCGAGAGACATAATATTTTTTATATCGTTCTTAAGAAGAGAGGTTGGATTCTTGATGGTCGAGAATTAAACTTAAATGAAAAATAACATAGATACGACTGAGTTGAGGATTGTTACAAAATACGAAACGATCTTTTAAAGAACTTAGATCGAAAGTACCCTTCTTTGAAAGCAGAAGATTAATACAGAGGAATCTCTTGAAATATCGCGAATAGTTATTAGAAATGAACGAGTTGGACGAGCTAATTTGCAAAAAAAAGAAAAATGAAAAAAGAAAAACGAAAAAAGAAAAACGAAAAAAGAAAAACGAAAAAAGAAATTATTTAAGTAGTTATATGCATCGTTTGAGATGCGGAATTATGTTTTCTGTATTCGTTTTATCGAATCAATCGAAATCCGGGTATATAATGAATCATTTTATTTTTCTTGCGTTGTTTGTTTTTTTTGTTTCTCTTAATTTTTTGAATCTTTCTGTATCTGTCTTATCCATCTGTCTCTCACTTTTTCTATCTCATGTATTCGATGCGAATCTATTTTCGTCTTTGTTTCTATCTCTTTCTCTTTCTCTCTCTCTCTCTCTCTCTCTCTCTCTCTCTCTCTCTCTTTCTCTCTTTTTTTCTTGCTCTCATATGACGACTTTCCGCTTCGTAGACGTATGGATATATCATTAATTAATTATCAATCTTACGCATCGAACATCTTGGTCGTTTGCCCCTATCCTTGCCATAATTCGATTCGCGCGCCCACGCGCTTCACGGACACCTGTAGACAAGACATACAAATAAATGCGTACACGCAACGTACACCCGGTAGAAAATGCTAAGTACCCACGCACATATAATACATCCATCCATATATATATATATATATATATATATACATACACACACACACAGACATATATAAAATAAAAAGGAATAAATACACCCGATCTGTAGCGTACGTGCGCGCGTACCGAACGCCGCCCGTATTTTATGTATTGTATATCTGTATTTTTGTATATCGAGAATTTTTTCTAATTATATCTACCGTTTAAGCGTTTCGCGAAGAACGAGCCGAATAATTATTAGCCGTTAATGAGAATGTAACGTCTGCTTGCCATTTTAGCCGAGCACCTTGCATCGATTGATCGTTATTGCTCGCGAGGTGATTGGCTCGCTAGAAAGGATGTGCGAAGAACGACTCGACGAGACCGAGATTTCGCTGATATTGTTAATTAAAAAATTCTTTCTTTTCTCTCTCTCTCTCTCTATCTCTCTATCTCTCTATATCTTTCTCTCTATCTCTTTCTCTTTATCTCTTTCTCTCTATTTATCTTTCTCTTTCTTTTTCGCTCTTTCTAACTCATTAGCACGATTTAATTGAATTTCTAATGAAAATTTATAAAGAAATATTTTCTATCGTCAGATCGATGAACACAGTAAGATATATAAGATCACATAAAACAATCAGGATTAATAAATATTATTTGTAACGCGGCCTCCTCTTTCCTCGATGTTTTTATCATTTAATATCTCTCGAATTGACTTAGATATTTACCAGCGACACCTTCGGCTCGACGGACGCGTTCCTCGCGCGATTCAGCCTTAAAATGAGAATCTCTTGCGTAATACGAGTCCATCTCTCTCATAGACGGATGAACAAAAAGGAGAAAAAGAAGATGAAGAAAAAGAAGAAGAAGAAGAAGAAGATGATGATGATGATGATGATGATGAAGAATAGGACGAAATAGAAGAAGAATATGATGATTATGATGATGATTATGATGATGATGATGACGATGATGATGATGATGCCGAGGAAGAAGAATTGGAAGGAACGCGTTCGATGTGTCCTCGGGCAATCAAAAATGATCGCCGTGCCAGAAAATCCGCTCTTGTAACTATTAAACGCACATTAGCCATTCATTATTATTACGAACAAAAAAAATATTTCTTATTATTAGTTATTAATATCTTTCTCTTATTATTATTATTATTATTATTATTATTATTATTATTATTATTATTATTATTATTAATATTATTATTATTATTAATATTATTAATATTATTATTAATATTATTATTATTATTAATATTATTATTATTATTAATATTATTATTAATATTATTATTATTATTATTATTATTATTATTATTATTATTATTATTATTATTATTATTATTATTATTATTATTATTATATATCGCTATATTATGCCTAGTTACATTGTTAAGTGATTAATCCTGTTTAATGCTTCTATTATTTATTTTGTTATGCAGTTCACGTGTCGAGTTTCCCCTCTCCACCTCTTTCTTTTTCATTTTTTGTATTATTTTTTTTTGTCCTCTTTATATATGTACAAATTTGTTCTTTTTCTTTTTTTTTCCCTTTTTTTCTTTTTTTCTTTTTTACAATTTTCTCTCGTTTATTAAAGAAATAAAATTAAATTATTTTTCAATATTCATTGAAATTACATCGAGAAAGTGCTGTCTACGTATATATCTCGTACATATTTTTCGTTTCGAAAATGATTCTTCCGATTGTTTTGAACGCAAAGATTCAATTTTTTTCTCCGGTCGAATCTCGATCTCATTTATTTTCTTTTTCTTTTTTTTTTTTTTTTTTTATTTCATTTTCTATTTCTTTCTTTTTTCTTCTTTTTTATTTTTTATTTATTTTTTTTTTTTTTTTTCTTATATCCTTTTCCTTTAACCACTCGACCGTATTCCCTCGACGTGCTAAGAGCTTCCCTTTCTTTATCTTTTGTAACGATATAAAAACAAAAGGAGCGCTACGCGAAGTTTTTGTGTAAATTATTGATGATGACGATTGTGTATGTTAATTTATAAATTATGTTGTGTTTACGAATCGTGCCAGAAAGGAAAAAAAAAAATATAATTTTTTCAACGAAACTCCCATCACGGTTTCTTTGGTTTGTTTGTTTTTGTTTCTTCTTTTTTTTTTCTTCTTTTTTATTTTCTTTTTTTTTCTTTTTCTCTTTTTTTTCTCTCTTCTATCGTTCTCTTTCTTTTCATTCTATTTCATTATATTTGTATGCACTTTTATTCAATCTCCTTCTTCTTGGTCACGCACTCATTATTTTTGCCATATTTCTGCTTCGCCATCGACGATAAGCGGAGAAAAATGAATCGTCAGACGTGCCTTTTGCAACGTGTCAGAAATCTTCGAGTTTCGAGCGTTTACGGTAGGCAAACTTAAACATATCACTTTAAGGCTGAGGATGATTTAGAGAAAAATACATATGTATAATATAAACGTATAAAGCGTAACGTCCAAGGAAAATATTTTTTCAATGCGAGAAGCGAGCTCCCTTCCGCGACAAACTCGAACGAACGTCCTCGTTTGTGTTTTATCATTAAAATAACTGTCGTGTGAGACAATCTCTTATCCATTATTTGGATTAATATTATACATATCGCGGAGAAACGAGCGAGCCTTCGTCTTATCAAATTCGTACGAATATTCACTTCGTAATATCGTCATCCTTTGTATCCGTTTCTATAAAAACGACTTCCACACAATTTTTCTCTTATCTCTGTACATCGAAATAAAATTGAAAGAAAAACAATCAGAATCTGTATGTCGTTGCACTTTAACGCTGGAATATATAAACACACGATAAACGTTTATTATTATAATTATTCCGATTCGTCCTTTAATAAATATCACTAAAGATTTTTCTGCAAATTGTTTTCACATGAGAATATTAGGTAAGTAACCAATCCAAAAGTTCGTATCGTAAAAACGACAATACCGAACGAATTGTCGACGATTATTTATTTTATTTTATTTTATCTTATTCTCTTTATTTTATTTTATTTTTTTTTTTTTTTTTGTTTGATATAAATTTTCAATACAGAGCAAAGGAATATTAGTCGATCGAAGAAGCTTATACGAGTCGCTATCAATCCGAGAATATTTTGTGGTTGATTGGTGAACGTGGCAGTAAAAGTCCAAGGATAATACATACCGCGATTACGGTGAAATCGTTCATTTCCTGTATTCTCGCGTGGAAATAAGCCAAAATTGAAAGCGAGTGAAAGGCGGAGTCGTCTTAGTTAGCCTTAGTATCTGCCAATTTTAATGTATCGAAATTCATTAGAAATTTTTGTCAGTGTTTGTTGCCTAAAAAAATGATTAACTAATTTTATCGATATATTCATTTATTACGATGAGGATAGAGTTCCACATAAAGCCAAGCGAATAGCCTCGATACGTTTCACGATCGATAGATTGTAATTATCGACTTTATCTTGGCGTATTTGTACGAAGGTCGGGTACGTATCCTTTAAGAATGTGAAATTATTGACCTCGACGTCTTCTCGTTCGTATCACCGGCAAGATAGAGAGAGTCGAGTCACGATTTTTAATCGGACACAATACGAACGTGGATCTCTATAAATCGTCTTAGCGAAGACGCGAAATGAAGATTCTTTGACGTACGTACTTAACTTCAATATA